AGGAACAAAGTGCACAGCTATCCTTTGGAAGCCCATCACAGTACATAGAGGGCCATTTGTGGCTTTATGTGTATACACAGAGGCTTCAATGTGAAAAGAGTTCTATAGAGTCCTGTAAGTTGAGTCCATGTGAGTCCAACTGGCACATGGTTGTGAATATTCCTGAGGGCATGGGAAGTTAATTCTGTTGCTGATGCTGGGAAATGCAGTCCTGCAGCCTCCTGGCCTGCCTCTTCAATGCTGCACAATTCCCAGGATGGCCCACAAAGCCTCTACTAGGAGTAATCCTGCTTTTCCTTCCTGTATGTAGTCTATTAGGTAAGGCATTGCTGTGAGAACAGCAAGCAGGAAAGGAAGGGTCAGGCAGGGCACACAGGTAGCAGTCCACATCACGACAATTCCTGGGAACCCACAAATACTTCTAGAAATAGCAGTCTTTGGGTACACCACCTTCTCTGATATGGTTTTTGTTGCTGGTTTTTGCACTAGATGCTGGGTAAGCACTCCACCACGGAGCTGTATTTCTAGCTTCCAGGAGGTCTTTGATACTGCCTGGACCAGGTACAGAGGTTGGTTGTAGGTTAATCATTTTACAGCTCAGCAGCCCCCTAAAGCCTGGGCCCAGATAGCCTTAAACTGTTTTTCATCCAAGGCAGGGATCTACATGGGGTTCTGGAAGCACAAGTTCAGTCCCTGCTTCCTTCAACAGAGCTCTCTGGAAGGCTGGAAGCAGGCATGCTTGCTTCTGTAGCCTCTGTAGCTCGACGGAATCACCCGCGGGGGAACCTTGCTTCTGAATTCCCAAGAAACCTAGGGTTTTTTTTTTTTTTGTTGTTGTTGTTTTTTGTTTTTTTTTTTCTTAACAGTAAGAAGCAACGTAGAACCACCGAGAAAATCAGCGGTAACTTGTGGCCATGAAATGTAAAAGCTGAAAGGTCACTGATGGGCCAAGAGCAAGAAGGGGTTTGCCCCTGAAATGTCTGAGCCACAGCCATAGAGGGGAGAACACAGGAAACAGGGAAGGAAAGCGGCCGCAGAGACTTGGACAACCAGACTTTAAATGTTTAGATGAAAAGGTATATTCATAACAATTCCAAACTAAAATTGTAGACAAGGAGAGGAGGGATGATGGAGAAGTCTAATAAACTGCCTGCATTTTACAGCTAGACACATATCGAAATCAATAAGGATAAGCAAGAATTCCATAATTTCAATAAAAATTGAAATAATAGGAGTACGATAATGGGAAATATAAGATAAAATAACTAAAGTTCTAATATTATAACCAATATATTTAACTAAAATAGAAATGCAGAAAATCTTGACCTTAAAAACAAGATCTAATAATCGCCTGGAAGAAAATCCTACCTAAGCTATAAGGAGTTGAAAATGAAACAGTAGATACCAGGCAAATATCCATTCCACGTGGCAGGGATGTCTGGATACTCCATAGGGGAGAAAGAAGAGCGCGAGGTCTCTACGCTGTACCCAAGCTGCAGAGGGGTGACAGCAAGCAGCAACTGTCTGCATCTGATGTTTGACACGTAAGTGTTCAAGTCCCTACCCCATCTGGGCAAGACAAACAGAAACCTATGTGTCTACCTCAGGGCCCTGCTGCCCTAGGACACTGGTTCTCACCCTTCCTAATGCTGCAACCCTTTAATACAGTTCCTCATGTTGTGGTGACCCCCCCAACCATAGAATTATCTTCATTGCTACTTCTTAACTGTAATTTTGAATGTGATATGAATCATAATGTAAATATCTGTGTTTTCGGATGGTCTTAGGTGATCCTGTGAAAAGGTCATTCAAGCCCAAAAGGGGTCATGACCCACAGGTTGAGAACCACAACCTCTAGCAGGGGTCAACACACTTGCAGCTGATACCTATTTCCTAATCAACAGAGGGCACACATTCCTTGTGTTTTAGACATCTTTAGAGCAGCTGGGTCCTTGTGTGACTTACCTTCTATTTCCACCATTAGCTGGTTGTGACATTCTTAGTCAGCCACCCTGTTTGCCCTTTAAAAGCCTGATGATTGAACTGAGCCCACCTGGAAAATCCAGGGTTGTCCCCCTAAAGTCAGTCGAGGAGAGTCATTAACACGACTTGCAATGGAGTGTACTGTGGAATTCACCCCCAAATTAGGCCATCATCACTATGCTCCCAGAGACCAAGTCAGATGAAATTAAGCAAGGATGTTCGAGACAGGACCAAACAAAGCCGACTTTCTCAGCAGGCAGGCAGCCTGTCCCAGCAGACACGTGGTACAGAGGCTCATCACAGGGCTGGTCACAGGGTCCCAAAGTGTCAGGTTCATGTGTTTACAGATACACAACGCAGGGCACTCAGACCAGTAAGGGAACTTCATGTATGAGGAGCTAACATTTTTACCAAGGGCCTCTGGGTAAGGGGGAATCTTGAGGGAAATGAAAAAAACTCTGACTGAATGATCTGTCATGGCTGAATTCATGGGACAGCTAAAGTAGCCCCTAGAAATTTCCAGTATCAACAGGTCAGGTGGGGACTACATCGCAGGAGTCAAGTGACAGAGGAAAGGACAGTGAAGCAAAGCAAATACAGACGAAGGAAAACATACGGGCAAAGAGTAGCAGAGAGTAAGTACTGTTGACAGCAAAAACCGAAGACGGACGACACTTTGAAAAGATCCATAAGATATATTGATCTTGACGAAACAGAGGAGAAAAAAAAGGAAAGGGTTAGATAAAGAGGTTGAAAAAAAGAAATAACTATAAACAGATTGAAAAAAAAAAAACAAGAAAAATGCCAAAATTGGCACCTTTGGGAGTCTTAAGTGCAGGGAGCTGATGTGACAAAGAACAAGTGCTCATGAGATGGGACTTAATTAATTAATTAATTAATATTTATTTTTGTCACAGCAACACAGCCTTTGAGCAACCCACCAGATTATGTTCTTAATGCTTTAGCTTGTGAAACTTGTTCCTGTCAAATAGCTTTGCATGTAATTTATTATTTTCTATAACATCATGCATTCTGGGATCAGGAGTGGACTGCCTGTCTGCATGGCAGCGATAGTCAGCTTGGGTCTTAGCAAACCCGTCCACAGGGTCAACTGTGGTCATTATTCCACACAGCTATGTACCAGGTACCAAGGACTGGGCCTGCAGCATGGTTCCCCAGTCTCCCTACCCTGCTATTGGGAAGATATAACTCATACTTGAGGTCAGTCAGTGCTGACAGAGGATGACATTAGGGCTCCTCTGGGGCAGACTGAGGAGGACAAACAAACTGACCTGCAAGTCTTGGGGAGTTGCCTAAAGTCCAGATGGCAAGGGTAATTCCTCAACTACCCCAGACCCTTTAGTAGACACTGAGAAATGAAAGTAGACACCCAGCAGCCACCCCGGCTGCCAGAGCTCTGTTCCTCTGGGGCCCCTGGCTTCAGTTCTCTACACGTCCCCCACAGGACAGACTGTGCTCAGGCAGGGGGCATGTCTCCTACTTGCTTATCCTCAAGGATGTCAGGTGGCACTGAGATCTCATCATCACGGCCACCTTTTACCTTTGGCACACACCAGATGCAGAACAAGCCTGGCCCAGTGACTTCTGTGGGACTGTGCCCTCTGTGACCCAGATGCTGGAATGTCTCCACAGGAAGGGATGTAGAGTCAAGCTCTGGCTTCTGAGGCTTCACTATCTTTGCCTCTCCTGGCTGACTTGTATTACTATTTGTAGAGAAGGGCCGACTGAGTCTACTACACCAAGCACATCTCTAGCCTGGCAGGTACCAGACTTCCTAAAGCTAGAGTTCTCAAGGGGTGGCCAGTATATGAGGGAGTCAGGCTCCCTGAATGGCACTGCATCCTCTCCATATAATGAATAAGAAGTCAAGCAGTCTCAGCCTAGGGCTGAGTGGAGCTCCCTTACTCCATGGCCTGGCCTTCACTACACATGCCCCTACTGGTGTGCTCTTGTAGCTGAACCCCATTCTGTAGTTCATGCACAGCTGACTCATCACTACCCCCATGCCCATCACCTCTGGGGCCTCCCTTAGGCTCCATCTGATCCTGCTCTTTTGATGACCCTGTGCTGCCTGGGTTTTTTTTTTTTTTTTAAATCCTTATTCACACAATAGCCATTATTTTTTATGGCGTGCGGTTGACGGGTCATCTGCTGCCTCTAGGGGAAGGCTATGTCCTATGAGTCCTTGTCATCTCTCAGACCCTGTGTCTGGGTTCAGTGTGTGGGAATGGGATTAAATCTTAGCCCCAACTTGCTGGGAGTGGAGAGTGGCCAGGGGTGCTAGGTTCATGCTTGCTGCTACATCGTGAACCATCCACAATAGAGAGTAAGGAATGTAATCAGACAGCTGAGTCAGGGACTGCTGGCTAAAATACAGGGCATGGACCTGAGGCATACCTGGTTTTGCCTGGCAGACAGGATGGGGATGTATTCTGCCAAGATGGCTACTGCATACCCCACATCCCAGAGCAGTCCCTGTACCATGGGTGAGGACTGGTTCCAGGACTGATGGCATATGCCAGAGAGCTGAATCTCAAGAAGAAACTGCAGAGTAATAGAGGAATACCTTATCTCCAGGGTTGAGTTGGTCTCTGACAGGGCCTTCTTGCCAGAAACTCCAAGGTCAGAGGTGGGGATAGGTACCAGAGCTCTTGGAGCTAGGCCAGGGGCTACAAAAGCTGCATGCCCTAGGCAGTCTCCACCTCTGCCCTGGCCTGGGTTAATCACCTAAGGGTGGAGTGGAGCTCTGGTTCTAAGTGGCAGTTGTGAAGAAGGAAGCAAGCTCCCTTGGACGGTGGAAGGCTGTGTGAATGGTGCCCTGGCAGGTCAGACATAGGCAGTCTCCATGCTGGGTGGCTTTATAGGTTGGAACCTGGCCCTCTAGAGGACCTGGGCAAGAGCAGAACTCAAGATCTTCTGATTCTGGGGCTGGGTACGGGTGTGTCTCGTGAGTCCGTATGGACACTGAGGACAGAACAGCAGAGAGAAGCCAGAACCACGGGGAGGAACACGACATTTATTGAACTCTGATGGGTGCAGATGAACTTTCTGGCAAGTCCCTGTTCTTAGCCATCTTGGAAGACATATGGGGGCCACAAGTGCCCCCTCCCCGAGATATCCCAGTGAAGCAAGGGTCCCACCCCACCCTCTGGCACTTTGCCTTGCTCCTTGGATAACCCCCAAGTCCCTCCTTTTCAGATGCTCCCTGCAGGTTGCAAGAAAAGTACCTCTGACCCCTGCGTACAACCTAGGGTGGGGATGAGTCAGTAGACCAGGTGAGGGAGGAGGGTCTCTGAGAACAAGGGACAGCAGGACATAGGAAGTGCTGTTAAAGCATCAAACCAACTTTTAAACAGATAGTCACATGGATACTGAGGAATAAATCTCTGAAACATCACATTTGGGAATACGTTGAGCATTAAAGTAAAGAGCTGCATGCCAATGCGTGGAGGCTACACTAATACGGAGCGCACAGGGCCTGAGTGGGCAGACACGCACTATCATCTGTTTGTAAAGAAAACGCTCTATTCATATCTGCAAGGAAGGACAGGCAGTCTGTACAGTGTGCCAGCTGGTGTGGCTGCAGGCTGGAGCCATCCGATGTGTAGAATGGAGGATCTTGGGTAGGTTAGAGTGCACCCATCCCGGTGACCTCAGACGTCAGCCTGGAATGGACAAAAGCACAAAGGACACATCACAGACCTCTTATGAGATGGGCTGGAGATGGGACAGTATGGAGAGGACGCCTCTCCATTTCCAGGTCACCATTCAGTGGCCATGAGCTGGAGGATCCACCACACAGCAGGTGGAGGTCACATCTGTGGAGCTTTACCTGTGCCTGTCACTCCGTCTTGCTGAGTTTGCGTCCCTTTCCTGGCATTGGGCCAGGGGCTAAGCACCCAGCCTACCTCTGGAGGTGGGATCCGACTTTTAAGCAGGGGCTTCATGGCTGTCACAGAAGGATCTGTGACATGGGTGGAAAGTAGCAGTTCGAGGAGTGTAGCTTAGAGTAGATTTGGGGCAGGTGAGGCAGGAGCTAGGCATTTCTCTGGGTCCTACTGCAGACTCACTACAAGTCTGCCAATACCCCTTGCCTGAGGCATATGGGCACAGTCTGATTACTGGCTGGGAGGAAGGAAATGGGACAATGGGGGTGCCTCTCATTGTAGCGTCCTAGTTCCTTGTTGGTGAATGGAATGATGGCCTTTGTCTGTGGAGGCTGACTCCACCATCTCTCTCCCCCGACATACCTGGATTTTTACTGTATCAGTAAGGATGTGGGGCTGTAGGCCATAGCTAGCAAAGGCCCAGATGCCTAAGGATCACTCACCTAGCATTGATGAGATACTGGGCAAGGCTGATGTTGGCTGGGGTCCCTGTGATGGTAATCTGACGCTCTGACGACCCTTCAGTGGCATTGGCGATTTTGATCTGAGCCCCAGACATCTGTCGGATTTCATTGATTTTGGTGCCCTGGCGTCCAATTATGCAGCCTATAAGCTAGAAGAAATGATGGAGGAATCTCTTAGAGAAGAGCCCAGGACATCCCTCTCATGGCATCTATAAGAGCCCTGCAGAGACACCCAGGAGGATAGACCCCCCAACTCTGCCTATAAACTCAGTGCTGTGGAAGAAAAAGGCACTACCAAGTCTTGAACCTGGTCTCTAGGACAATGTGAGAGAGGGCCCAGCTCTGCCTGTTGACAGTCTGTCTTATCGCCTCCACTTAGTGTCCCTCTGGGAAAAGTCCACACAAGACATAGCCACCACCTTCCTGGCTTTTTCTACCTGGTCAGAAGTGACCTAGAGACAGAAGATGTAGACTGAGCGGGGACTCCCACACCAGCTCTGACCTAGGCTGGGTCGGGGCCTTCTGGTGGTGCCCTTACAGGGAGAGCTGACCTACAGGGAGATGAGCATCACAGACACTAGGAGCACCTCAAATTCATTGTTGTTGAAACCTATCCTTTGATGATCTCAGATGAGGCTGAGGACAAATCCGATGTTTGCTTGGTTTAGTGGATGCAGTCAAGGTAGTCACCAGGAGTGAGGGCCATCTCTGAAAGCAGCTCAGGGACAAGTGTGCCCTCTATCCTGGTGGTCAAAATCTAATAGTTGCAGTTGGGTGTGTGCCTCTCAGTCTACCCTGTTCCATGGTAGGAGAGGCCTGGACCCTACAAAAGACTGCAGAGGAGCCAGATGATGTTCCTCAACTTCCATCAGCCATTACATGGAATTCCCCTCTCCACCCACTGCCACTGCACGCTCCCGAGTAAGGAAAGGAACACTGGTCAGACAGGCACCGAGAGCCTGGACGGTAGCCGGCAGTCACCACAGGCCCTAGTGGTCCTGTTGTACCTGGCTGTCTGGGTGCTGGCCTGATGACTAGAAACAAGCTGTTCTTGTGCAGTGAGATGTAAAGCAGAAGGCTGGGCTGGACCTGAGAGGTACAGGAGGGGAATCTACCTCTGGGCCTGCACAGCAGGCAACGGTGCACTTGTGAGATTAGCTCTTAACTTGGAGAGGCCTGAAGGCTGTGCGTTCTGCTCACTGTTAAGGCATTCAGTCTCCTGGTGTCTGTATCACTCAATGAGCTGTGACGATTAATCTTTATGAACACAGAGGACTTAGCAGCCTTCAAGCAGCCCTGTCCAGTAGAGCATGTGTGGGGGAGCCCATGTGCTGGAGGGGCCATTGCACGAGGAGAGAGAAGGGGAGGTACAAAGCAGAGACCTTCTCCATCTACACAGCAGGAGGCAGGTGACATGACACCTCATCATAAAGGCAGCCTGGCAAGTTGGTCCAACCTCCAGTGTTCTGGGAGCTCAAGGCTACACAATGATACCCCCACGGCACTTGAGCTGAATTCTATGCAGGCCTCTACAGACTAGGGGAAGCAGAGCTTGTCAGGTAGCAGGGAAGATGTTTGGGGCCAGTGGCAGTCCCTCTTCAGGATCATCTGCAGCCAGATGGGCTCATGGTTTCTCTCCTGGCCAGCTTGCTTTGCTGCCTAACTGTTGGCCAAGTGTAGCTCCAGTTTTGGATGTCCCCTCAAACTCCAAAATCTGGGTTTCCTGCAACTGGCTCATGCGGGATAGAGCAGGTCTTGGGTCTCCTGCCTTGCTGGTATAAGGAGAGGTCTTCAAAGTTCAATTCTACTGGTCTGGAAAATGTGAGGTGTTTGCCACACAAGATGAGGACCTTAGTTTGACCCCTAGTGTCCAGATATGGTGGCACATGCTTGTAATCTCAGCATTGAAAAAGTAGAGGCGCCATGGCCAGCCGGCCTAGTCTAATGAACCCTAGATCCTGGTAAGAGACTGTCTCGAAAACAAAAACAAAAAGCAGATGGACCTAAGGTTAACCTCTGACCTTCATATGTAAACAGAGATGCACAGGCATAGACATAGGCAGTGTGCAATACACACACACACACACACACACACACACACACACACACACCCGAAGTCTGACTAGCTTTAGGACAGAGAAAGCCTAAATACTTTACAAGTAGGAAAGGGGACATGACCTACATAGAGACTGCCCCTGCCCCTTCTGCTATCCTGGCAGCTATTCTCAAAGTCATGGACTTTCCTTCTCTAGTCTCACTGTTTGGGGGTGATCCACTGATTTGGAGACTGCCCCCACCTCTCCAGGCCCCTGCTCAACCTGGGAGGACAAAGTGTACTGACAGTAGCAGAGACCACAGCTTGTGTTCCCTAAGGCATGGGCAAATTGAGGATGCCAGAGTAAGGAATCCGGACAACCTATGACATCCAATCAACTTCATGTCCCAGAGAACTCAACCCTCCAGTATGGGTCATATCACTCCAGAACCTTCCTGGACCACCCTATTCTCAACATCTCTAAGCCAAGATGCTGCTGCAGTTGCTATAAACTCCTAGCCCAGCCCTGGTAGTGACTTCCGCTTCACCCTGATGTCCTCAGTGCTCCGTTCTTGATTGCATCTTTCATGGACATTCTGTCAGTTCAAGGAAAAGGAAGGGGGAACAGATTCAACTGTGGGGCCAGGGCTGAGGGTATCACTGGGACAGGTTTTGTGAGGACAGGAGGGTGCAGGGGGATACTCACATCATTGGGAATGGTGAGCTCATGAGTGCTGGCCGGGGGGCTGGCATCCAAACCTGGGCACATCAAGGGAACATGGTTAGGCCGGAGGGAAACAGTTCATTGCCATACCCAGACCTGGTCCATATTTCCCTGGGCTGGCTGAGGTGAAGGCCAGCACCACCCAAGGGACCCAGGCCCAGGTGGAATCCACTCTCCGGAGTTCCAACTTCTCTCAGAAGGAAAAAGAGACCCCACACCTTAGATGCATATTCTGGCAGGCCCTGGGCTAAAAAGAAGGCAACCATCACACTTCAGGCCTTCCAATGGCAGCTGAGGCACAGGCAATACAGGTCACATTTACGCAATGCTTGTTTTCCCTGTTTTCAGGGAGACTGTGGGTGCTGTGCCCCACTCTGCTCCACCCTGAGACCTCATGTGGTCCTGCTGCAGGTAGCCAGAAGTAGCAAAAACCTCACTGTTAATTCTGTTCGGCACTGTTCCCTCCAAAGGCCACTGTGCATGGCTGAGCTCAGGTTTTCTCCTTTGCAAGTCTCGCTATGTCTCTAGGTAACAGGCAGCCTCTCAGAGTCTACATGCTAATTCTCTCCCACCTCAGACTGCCACAGTGGAAGGTACAATGGCCACACCTCTGGGAGAGCACATGCTCTGTACACAGCCAGCCCAGATCTGCATGTTCTAGAGCTGATCTCTCACCTCTAGGCCCAGCAACAGCACCCCCTGCATGGGACTGCGGGGTCCAGACCCCAGATACTACCCTTCCAGATGGCCAGTTCTACCCACACCCCTTCAGAACACCCCAGAACCCAGGTCATCGTCTCACTCAGTGATCTTACTGTTCTGCATCTGCTTTTAGTACCATACCCATCCATTTAGCCACGAAACCCAGGATCCTCCCCCAAACCTCAGCGAGCCTCTACTTCTCACGGTGCCTCCTCATTCTCTCAGCTTCCGTCTGGCCTTGTTTTACTCCCTGGGTGGATGGCCTCCTCACAGTCTTGTCTCATGGTTAGTAACTCCTGCCAGAGTGTGACCCCAATGGCAGGTGTCCAGAGGTTAGGGCCAGGTGGAAGTGTTGTATAAACTGATTCATCCCAGCTCTGCAGTTCTGTTCCTACATTGACATCTGACTTTTCTAGCCTTCCTTTTAATAATAGTTTTTAATGCACTTATTTGGCTATTTAGGAACCTATACACATTCCCAGGGCAGAATGACATTTGAAAGACTTCCCTAGTATTACTGGAAAGCTGGACAGGAGTTTCTGGGGCAGCAGGGTCTATCTGTCCAATCTGATATTTGACTGAGTGAAGAGCAGGGATTCTTTCTCAGGACACTGAAGTCAAGTGGGTAGATAAGGGCATATCCACTTGAAGCCCACACTCAGGACAGGGCTTCGAAGCTAGCTGCATTTCACCTGCAGCTAATGGCTGCCTCAGCGCACACCCTTCCCACTGCTGCCATGCGAGTGCACATCCATGTACATGGACTCATGTTGCAGGTCTTGAGGGCTTGGTCAAGTTGTTACACAAAAGCATGGTGGCAGCCAGGAGGCTGCAGAGTTGGCTGTGGGTACTCATGGTGGCCACAGGTATAACGTGCATGATATGGTATTTCCCTCATAGGACCCAGAGAACACTCAGCCCCAGCCTATCTATCACCTTTTCCAGCCACCTCCATCAGTCTCCACACCACCCTGCAGTGTCCCGGGAGCAGGCATTTAAATGAAAACCATTAGAAAGTGTAGATACATCCAGCCCAGATCCATCTTCTAAGTCTGTGCCTATCTCCAGGGAAACCCATCTTTAAAAAGCAGATACCATCCCATGGCCCCTACAGTCATGCTCTCACTATATACCTCTATACACTGCACAGCCAGAGAATGAGTGGCATCTCAGACAGGTCCTCCTCATGTAGGTGCAGACTGCCTTAGACCACCCAACTCTTCACAGGGTGGCTGTGCTGTACGTGCTCAGACCTATCGTTCACCAACAATGGAACCTGGTGGTCCCCATGACTCAGTCCATAGCCTGTGCCCCTGGAAACTGTCTATTGCTAGCAAATTTGGGTGGGTACTAGACACTCAGATGTCACAGGTGTGGGTGCCCTCGTCCTCTGTACGTGTCCCCTGGCCTGCTCACCCAGCACTGTGGTCTGTTTTACCTGACGACTGGCCCATCAGATTTTGAGCTTCTTCGGAGGAGTGTAAAGGCAGCTTTTCTCCTGGAGAGCAAAGAAGAGAGAGGTTTAATGGTTTGCCCTCAAGGAGAGAAGCAAGGTCCCTTCAACTAGGAAAGCTCAAAATATGATTGGTGCATGCGCAGCAACGTGCACGGCCAGCGTGTTTTCACTGGCCATAGCCACCGGGCGGCTCTGCTTCTGTGAGAGGGACACCCTGCTGCAGATGCCCAGGCAGGCTGTGGCCAGTCCCTCTGATTACTTCATCATAGGCCTGGGTGCAGGCCGGCTACCATCAGTGCTATCCTAGGCAGGGCTGCACCAACTAAGGCTGAGGTCACTCCTGCGGTCAGAATGTTGATCTGGGAAAAGATGTGCTCCAAGCGGGGCCAGGTAGAAGCCTCTGTAGGAAAAGCCACCTGGGGATGGACTGTGGGTGACACAGAGCACTGCTATGCACATTAAGACCCTCAAAAGGCAAGAACACGAAAGCCGGGGAGCAGTGAGGTTGCCTGCAATGGGAGGCAGACCAACCCGCCCGGCCTCAGCTGTGAGCAGCCCACTGCATTAACACTGTGAGATTCAGCATTCAGAGCTTTGGCCAGCACCTGTGCTACTCACTACACTGAACAGAGCTCAGAAAGAGAAAGCGAGTCCCCAGGTGAGAAGAGAAGGTCAGAAAAGGGCAGCTGGGTACGTACCGGGGAAAGCGGGGTTGGTCTGTCCGAGGGGAGGAAAGGGGGTTTGCTGCATGGCCAACTGGTGGAGCTTGGTCAACTGCTGGGGGTAGGAGGGACACGAGAGCTAAGAAGGTTATTGTCATCGAGTACAAGTCACACCAAGTTAAAAATGGCAGTAACAGAACTTTGCACAGAGAGGTTCAGAGGGGCCATGCGGACACATGGCAGACACTGCTGCAGGACGCAAGGACTTGGCCTGGGTGGAACCAATGGGCCTGGCTGCCAGCAGCCAAGAGCCTGAATGAGCTGTGCCTTTCCCTTACCAGGCTAGTGAGGACAGGAGGGGCCAGTGGTCCTTGGGGCTCTGAGAGGAGAGTCTGAGGGACATAGAGCAGAGCCAGCTGGGCTCCTAAGGAATGAGCAGATTCAGTCTAGCAGGTCATTAAACCTTGCTGTGGCTCCAGATTCATGCTAGGCTTCACTCACCTCCTGGCCTGCAGGCCTCATTTTAACACAAGCAGTCCATGTGTGCGGTGGGGGAGGAGGGTTGGGGAGCAGCTGGTAGAGCTATGGGCCTGCCCTGCATCTGCCTTCGTGACTTATGCAGAGTGACAGGGCAAGTGAAAGATGCAGAGGACCCTGGGGACAAGGCCATGTCTCAGCTCCCACAAGCCACGTAGCTTCACAAGGCTTGAACATGCGATGCCTCTGTTCATTTTATTTGAGCCTTACTCTCAAACTAATAAAGAGCATCAGAAAACAGAGGGGAATAGGGCTATGAACCACACTACTCTTTTGGGAATCTAGGGCACTGGTACAGGGGCCATGGGCTTCCTCAAGCCTGGCTTCCTGAGGGCCAAGAGCCCATCAGATAGCAGAGCACACCTACAGGGAAGGCAGATTCTTCTTCCTCCAAGGGTTCTAGCAAAGCTGCATGTCATCAACTTGGGCTCCAGAGTCCGGCTGCCTTCACAGTTAGGCGCAGTTAGCAGAGCTGGGAGTAACTGTGACAGAGGACACTATGACTAGCGAGTGGGGCACTCTAGAAATAGAGCTGTTGAGTGTGACCCTCAAACAGAATGAGGGTCCTACTGTAGCTCTCATCAGGATCATGTGGCGTGTCTAGATGTCTCTGTGGGGCTTTCCTGCATTGAGCTTCCTAGGTGCAAGGTACCCTCAAAGTTTAGACCAGTGCCCCGTGGAGACGGGATGGCCGGTGGAGCTGGTGCTGATCTACAAGATGGTTTCTGGGTGTCATCTCTGACAGAACTTTGGCACATAAACCCAAGGCCTTAGAGTTTGTGTAAAAAAGTCAACTTCCTTGGCTTGGTCCTGGGATACCTTTCCTTGTCCAACTCCTCAGAAAGATGGCAGACAGATGGGCACATCCTAATTGTAACTCTACTGGTCTTAGAGGTGCCTGGCTTCTTGGTCTGTACAGGGGAGACCTGGCTGCATCCTGAGTTTGGGGTCAAACTCAGCTCAAAAGTCCCTAAAGAGGTGGTATATGGTTGGCCCACAACAGGGACTGATAACAGTACCTCTAATCCATGCTGTGCTGTGCCAGTGACTCTGCCTAGCCAGACAAAGAGTGCTTTCCATATGGCCTACATCTGTGTCTGTTTTAACTCTGCATCAATGCAGAGTGGGGATGCTTGGCAAAAGGCAGAAGAGCATGTGCAGAAGACCTGTCACCAGGCCACATCTCAAGGATAACACTGTGCCTCCAGGAGGGCTGTGAGCTTCCACATGGAAGGACCTGAGGGGCCGAAGACCCTGCCTGCTCCATTTTGGAGCCTTAGTGAAGGCAGTGTTTCTGATAGACACATACAGAAAGGTACCCTAGAAAGTACAGCCCTATTTGGTTCTGCAAAAGGGCTTGAGTGGAGGTGTTGGGTGTGGAGGTGTTGGGTGTGGAGGTGTGGGGTGTGGCTTGTACGGGTGGATGCCTAAAGGCAGAGTTTCAGCAACCTGTACTCCACTCATATCCACTGTTTCTATGCTTCTGTGTCCATTGGCTGTGATGTTCACCCCAAGGACAAAGCTGTCTTCACATCTGCCTGAATCCCTAGGGACTATGGCGCAGTAGCTGGTTCAAGATGGCAGGGGGGACAGAATGTGGAACAGGGCATATGGGTGAAGTGCCAAGGGAGCGAGCCTGATGGACCTAGTGTGGACCAGCTCTGGGGGGACTCCAGGCCTCAGCGCTCTCGTCTGCATGGCTGTACATATATCCCCAAGGGCTAGTGGTCACTGTGAGTTCCCAAGGATTTCCAGTTGCCCATAGCCCCATGGTTTTGTCTCCTGCTGGTCTCACAGGTGAAACTCATTTAGCCAGGGTGGGCTTCAGAACCTATTGACCAGCAGGGTACAGGAAGCCATGGAACCTATAAAGCTGGTTCTACTCACACCCACACTCTGATGTTCAGAGGCTTAGTGACTCTATGGCCGCTCCCCTACAGACAGACAGATGTGTATATATATATACACACACATATATATACATACACACATATATACAAACATACACAATACATACATACATACATACATACATACATATATATACATACATATGGCTACACTAGCAAATAAATGCAGTGATGTCATAGAACAGGACTACGCCAGTGCGTGACAGTGCTCAGTGGGCGTCTGCTGAGGTGTAGTACCTGTGGGAAGGAAGGTTAGCCAAGATCCTCTTCTTGATATGGCTGTTCTCGTCAGGCTACCTTACAATTCAATTTCTACAACTGTTAAAGGACTAAGTGCTGAAAGGTCTTCCACTTTTGCTTTTTGATAGTTTTGCCATGTAAAAATCAGTCTTGGGGAGCAAGCCAGTGACCAGCAGAGCTGCAGAGGTGAGGCTTCCCAAACCCTTAGGAGCCCAAGATCAATAATGAGTCCCAGCTGCCAGGCACTGAGTTACAAGTTTTAGATTTTCACTGCTGATTTTGGTTTTGCTTTGATCTGATTGTTTTTCTAGCTCAGTTCTTCCCTTTTGGATTAAGAAGTGATATAGCTTGCTTTTATTGGGGGGGGCATTTTATTTTATTTTATAGGGCCCAAAGACTTTGTACTTTGTACTTTTTTTTTTAAATGAAATTGTTGAAAACTTTAAAGACTGTGAGACTTTCAAAAGTTGTAATTTATTCTATATTTTGATAGTAACATGAGATCTTGGGGACAGATAAGAAAGGAAAGGTTATAGCTTAACAGTGATATTTTTGTGTCAATTTGACAAGGAGTAGTGTATTGGTTAGTTTTAATTGTCAACTTGACACAACTTAAAGTCACCTGTGAGGAGGGAATCTCAATTGAGGAACTGTCCAGATTTATAAGAGATTGTCTTGAATGATGACTGATGTGGGAGGGCCCTGCCCATGGGGCTGCACCATCTTTAGGCAAATGGGACTGGGTTATACAAGAAAGTTAGCTCAACATGGGCCAGTAAGCACCACTCTTCCATGGTTTCTATTTCGGTCCCTGCCTTGATTGTCCTTACTGATGGATTGTGAACTGGAAATGTAAGCCAAATAAACCCTTACTCCTCCAAATTATTGACACAGGACATACAGGAAGGAGTGAGAAAGGAAAGATGGGTATCAAGCAGAAGAAAAGAGGCAAGTTGTCACAGAGCAGGAACTCTTTCCACTTTAAGGGTGCTTGAGGATGCAAAACATACTCAAGTGTCCTTAAGTTTGCAGCTCAGTGAATCATGAGGAAATGAAGACAGCGGACCCATCACTCAGGGGCAGATGCACCTACTAATCTGTACTTCATTGCATCTGGGGGAAATAGCTGTGTCTTTCACTCAATTTTCAAACAGGGTCAGTTGTTGCTGATTAGCTGCTGCACAGACCTCTCTGATGTTCCTCTTGAGAGAAGCTGACATTACATCACCATCCCCAGCGCTGGTCTGTGTATTTTCTCTGGGAAACCCTTCCCCGTCCTAGGAACAACAGACCTTCCCCGTCCAAGGAACAACAGACATTTTTCTATGCATTTTTTTCCTAGCCCTGCCACCCTTATCCTCTTGTGGAGTTCTTGATACGTGAGGATGTTGTCATGAAGAACCACTGTTGGATGACTCACCGTTGGGCACTATTTATAGATGGCTCCGTCTCTTTTGGGAGTGTAGTGAAAGCCGGCCAGGACAGGCCTCTTCACCCATTATTGTGACCCTAGAGTAAATCTTTGTATTTACAAGGGCAAATTCTTTATCATGCTCCTTGATGAGACTTTCATGATCATGTTCATTCATGCAACATTTAAAACAGCATAGTTTCCTCTAAAGGTCTTTTGAGGGTCTGGATTTTTATTGCGCTTGTACATCAATCTAGGAAGAAGTGGCACCATTGTAATTCTTACTGTTTCTATCCATGAATGCACTGTATTTCTTCACTTCATGGGATATTTTGGTTGGAACTTTCAACAAAGGCAGGGTTTTTGCTTGGTTGGTTTGGCTTGGATTTTTGAGACAGGGTTTCTCTGTGTAGCCCTGTCCTGGAACTCACTCTATAGAAAGGCTGGCCTCGAACTCAGGAATCTGCCTGCCTCTGCCTCCAGAGCTACAAAAGCAGTATTTTTTGTTCATTTGTTTGATTTTGGACAGGGTCTCAGTTTGTAGCCATAGCTGGCCTGGCTTGAAGTCAGAGAGACCTGCCTACCCACTGCTGCACCCCCCACCTCAAGTGCTAAGGGCAGGATCCTTTTCAAAGCTGCCTTTCCTTATCAGTCTCACACTTAGTGCATTATGACTCCAAATTCTGAAATCTGCTTCATGGTCGAGTATGTGATCAAATTTTGCAAAATTCTCTAGGAATTCTCCAGTTGTGTTGGGCATAGCTTTCAGCATATCATATCACACACTTGATCTGTCACTCACCGAGAGGGAAATGTGCTGCTACTCCTCTGTGGTGGTTGTCAAACACACCAGGTTTCTTTAGAGGGTATTCCCCACAGCCTCTCTCTACTCTTCAGTTAGGGCTTCTCATGCTTTGGGTGTGTCTCTTGAAGGAACACAAATTAAATTTCTGCAGTTTTGCTTGTCTGACAGCCTTTTTTTTTTTTTTTCAGTTAACTGTAATTTTCATTTAT